ATTATTATTATTATTATTATTATTATTATTACTTTTTTTCTACTGCACTCTGCACGACCCCTCCCTTCCTGGTCCATTTTCTCCTCCCCACCTTCCAAACCTTTTCTTTTGTTTCCATCCTTCTTCTCTTCCTTTGCCTCTTCTTTCTCACTCCCACCGAACTTTCCCGCTTTCGTGCTTTTCTTGTTAATTTCTTTATTCCCTTCTCCCAGTCCCATTGCTGTTTTGACTCCAGTTCGCATTTCCTCCCCTTCTCTTTCCTCTCAAACCTCCAGTGAGGCTGGAAACCTGCTGATCCTGGCTGATGGGATGGTGGTGGAGCACCCCGAGGACTTCTACCGCATGCAGGTCAGCTTTTAATCCCCCCTGTAGAGATTTACATCATTATCATTCGCCAATATTAAAAGATAAATAAAGGAAAATGAACCGTTCTTAAGTAAAGTAGCTGCTGTCAGACACAAGTTTCTGTTCAGGTTATTCAACCAAAATTATCATTAATTTAACAACAAAGCACATTCAACTTTATTCTGCTTTATTGTGTCAAAAGTRTTGCATAATATTTCATTATTAAAGTGCCCATGACATGCTTATCCTTCAAATACAAAAAAGTCAAAGAAAACATATTTATATTTAAGAAAATTAGCATAATACACATGATTTTACCCTTGTTGTCTCATAACTGGCATATTTTCTCTTGAATTTGGCTTCCCAAAGTGAAACAGGAAGTGACATCACAGGGGAACTCTTTAAGAAAAGAAACTCTGGTCTTTGTTTATTGAAACAAAATTATTTAAACTCTTCAACTCTGATAGTGACTCAAAATAATCTAAAGAAACATCAGATTCTTCTCTAATTACTGTAGCATCGCTTTGTTTACATGCAGACATTCCCCTTTGACATCACTTCCTGTTTCTTCACATGCAAATATCTCAACAACAGTTCATCTCAACGATGTGAAATCTGTTTTGCAACATGTTATCAGTGTTCTTTTTCCAAAAACACATTCTCATTTGTGACAAAAATGTGATGTCACAGGCACTTTAAGGTGGTGTTTAAATAGCCTCAATCCTTTTGCACTGCAGGCAAGCCCCTCCTCCTCCAGCCTCAGCTCCACCCACTCTGCACCCCCTCAGATGATAAACTCCACCCCCTCGACCATGAGAGGTGATACAATACGACACAATATTCAGTGTTTTTGTAATATCGAAGTATTGATCTGTATTTTCTGTTGTGTTTGTGTGTCTGCAGTGGGCTCTCCCTCTCTGCCCGACAAATACAGACACAACCGAGAAATGCTGATGCTGCTGCCGCCGCACAGAGAGAGGCCGAGCAGCGCCATGTACTCCAACATCACTGAGAACGGACAGGTTCTGATGAGAGATGTTCAAGTTTAGATTTTAGACTTGTTTGTACCTCAGTCTGAGCTCAACTAAAAACAGGAACATGTTCAAACTGATGTAAAAACTTTAAACTTCTTCAGGTTTTCTTGTTGACACTGACTTGAAACAACAAGTTCAGCACTTTGAGCTGCAGTTAAAATGTTTTTGTCAAAGACATTATGATTAATTGAAATTGTAGGAAGTAACTCAGGTTTAAATCATGAGAAAAATCAGTTTCATGTTTTTCTTGTTCTTCCCATCCAGCTGCCAAACTTCCAGCGAGCCTTGTTCCACCAGGTGATCGGTCCCTGTAAACCCTGCAGCGACCCCAACCTGTCCGTGGCAGAGAAAGGTGAGCAAACGTCCACAGACGTCTGAAAACGTGACGTGTGAAGTCCCTGCCTGCCTGTGTCGTTTCATGTCGTTTCTCCTGTCCTGCAGTCCTCACCACTCCCAGCAGCTGGAGTTTGGACAGCGGAACCAGGGAGGCTCTGCCGTTCCTCGCAGCTCATGTCGGCAGCGTCATGGCTCCGCCGGTCCCTCCCCGGAACCTGCCTCATGGTATGAAACTGAAATGTTGCTTCTGCATGTGAACCTGTTTGTCTTTATGTTTGTTGAGTCCCTCTGCAGAGTGTTTGTGTGTGAAACCTCTTTACAAATCATGTTTATGTTCTAGATTAGGGGTTTCTATGTACTTATCTGGGTGGGATGAGGTAGAATAATGCACACAGAACAAGTTAAAGTTAGTTTTTCCTTCTGAACACAGATTTGAATCAACTTAGTTTTGTTCTCAGGAAGAAATTCAGAGAAACTTGGTCTTTAAAAAGTTCTGCGGATTATATAATCAGATTTAAACTTTTAGAAAAGCATCAAGAAGCTTATGGTAAATTCTTCTTCTTCCTCAGTTTGTTGTCTGCAGTGTTTCAGCAGAACAGAAACTCAGAGCATCATTTAACAGCCTGAGAACATAACTACATAACAGCAGAGAGACGCCTCTAGATGGTGACAAAACACACAGAATGAAGGTCTTTGCTCTGAAATGTCTCTAAACAGCTTTATAATTTTATTACATGAAATAATATGTTCATATCTTTAGCTAATTATTAAATTATTTTAGTAGAGCACAGCTAAGGAATTGTAAACTTTGTAAAAAATATCACCT